GTTATCTGTATTACCAGTATAATAAGAATCCACATATCATATCAAAATAATGCCATCTTTACAAGATTTAAAATGCAAACATAAATCAACTCCTTTTAAGTATCTTAATAGTCGTTTTAAGGCAGCCCAATGCTCAGGACCAGGATTAGCCATAAATCTACTCAAAATACTTATAGAATGGGCAACATTAGGTCTGATACACACCATAGTATATATAATAGACCCAACAGCATTAGCACATGGAACCTTCTGTACGTATTTAAAATGATTGGTCTTTCCTCAATTTAAAATGATAAGTAAGAGGCAAAGTAACAGACTTTGATTCATGTATAGCAAACTTAGATAATATTTTTTTCACATAATCAGATTGTGTTAAGAGAAGATACTGTTGGGATCTATTTTTTTTAATGCCCATTCCTAAAATTCTTCTAGCACGACCTAAGTCTTTCATTTCAAATTCAACACTTAAAATGCTCTTTTAATGTCACTAATATCACTTATATTTTGTCATATCATCAACATACAAAAGCAGACAAACCATATAGACTTACTGTCATTCTTTTTAAAATAAAGACAAATGATCAAAAGAACTTATTATAAAGCCAACAGATGACACAAAATTGTCAAATCTCTTGTACTATTGTTTAGGTGATTGTTTTAGACCATACACAGATCTTTTTATCAACTTGATTTTTAGTTAAAGTTTTTCAAGTTTTAAACTTTTCAAAAGTATCAGATTTTTGTTTCAAGAGAAACACCCAAACTTTTTTTGAAAAATCATCAATTAAAGATAAAAAAATATATATATATTTCCACCTTGAGTAGTGGTAGATGATTGGCCCCACATGTCAAAGTGTATATATTCAAGGATAGATGTGGTTTTGTACTTCCTAGTATTAAAATGAAGCATATGCTGCTTACCTAAGATGCAGTATTCACGGAAAGGAACCTTAGAAATAATATTTTTATCAAATGCTACATTCTTATTTAAAATGTGCAAACCTTTCTCATTAACATATGCCAATCTGTTATGCCATTTCAGGGTGGCATCAATCTCAGCACTAGAGGACTCATCAGTGTGACTTGGAACAACACAAACTCTAGTGACATATATACAATTTCTTTTGGTATCTTTGAAAATAACTAAAGAACCCTTAATTACTTTCAAAGAACCACTTCCAATCCTGTCTTCCGTGCCTATGTCATTTAGATTCCCCATTGAAATTAAGTTTCTATTCAAATTAGGGACATACCTTACCCTTTCTAGAGTAAATGTGTATCCATTTTCAAAATTCAAAGTCACGCTACCAATTCCTTTAATCCTATAGGCAACATGGTAGCCAATAACCATCTCTCATCCATCAAGATCCTTATAGTTTTCTGACGACGGTTTTCAAAAGGTCATATGGAACGTGCAACCTGAATCCAAAATCCACTCAAAATTTTGATCATTGTTATCTGCATAATTTGCAGTATTCAGATCAGTAGTGAATTCTGTCACAACATAGACATCTATTATTTTATCATCTAAGGGTTTAACAACATTTTCGTCGTCTACTTTTATCTTTCTCTGTTCATTTTTTTCTTATAACAGTCTTTTATATAATGTCATTTTTTTCACACTCATAAACTTCCTATTTCTATTTCTAAACTTTGACCTAAACCTCACTTTCCCTTTCTTCTTAGAAGTATTATTCATTTGATGACTCTGAATGCCCTGACCATTCACTTACCTTGTAATGGACTTACCTCTCACAAACAAACTCTTTGATTCATTTCCATTTCTATCGACTTTAAGTTCTAATTCTTTACTTCTTAAAAAAATTATAACAATTTTCGGAGTCAAGGTATCTTTGCCATATTTAATGACAGACCTGACATCTCTATATGCCTCAGGTATGGCATTAAGAAGAATAACAGCCTTATATTCATCGGAGACTTTGTTTCTAGCATTATTAATATCTTGTACTAACTTGTTAAAAGTATCAAGATTGCTATCTATGTCTCTAGACATATCAATCTTAAAACTAAAAAATCTATCTAGAAGGAAAAGTTTATTAGGTAATGACTTAACCAAATAAAGTTCTTCTAATTTGTTCCACAAGGCTTTAGCAGTATCAAGTTTTTCTACTTTTTTCAATACTTGATCAAACGAATGAAGAATAATAGAAGTATAGGCATTTAGTTATTTGTTCAGAAGTCATAGTTTCAGGAAAATCAGCAGTTATAGCCTTTGAAACTTTCTGTTGAACAATGACCCCTCTTACTTTTTACTACCAAATGGGAAAATTTCTTTTTCCATTAAAAATTCAAAGTTCAAGCGTGGTAGCCGTCATTTAAAGTTTTTAATCAACATAAAAAAAAAAATATAAAGTCAATGTTCAACAACAATGAGCAAACATCCGAAAGATAAAATATTACACAATACACAGTGACATAAAAAAATATATGAGATATCAGACAATTCAAAGGCAAAGAGTCACACTGAAAATGAAATAAACTCGATGATTATAAAGCTAGCAGTGGGAAATTCCTCCAATTTCTGTGTGTTTAAATTCACTAGGATTCCTTGAGGCTCAAGACCCAATGTCAAGACACAATTCAAGAAACACACGAAATAAGAAGAAAACTAGAAAGAAAACAGGGGGAATTAAAATATTAAAGATCGACAACAACAAAAGAGTTAATATTTGAGATTTTTTAACCACCGACTTCAAGTAACACTTACAAAGTACTCAGGTGTTTCTAGAATAATTAACAGAAAGCCAAAGATCTAAATACTTTCTTCAAGATTCAACCAATAATCACTAGAGAATCAATATCTCCCAAAGAATCACCACCAGAAACCACGATCCGTTTACAATAGGATTTAAGGTTTCCACCAATCGTCAGATCTGTTAAGATCTAGTTGTGAAAATTAATTTTTCACAAAAAGATCGTGAACAAAGGGACACTAAGACACCCAGATGTCTCTGATACCAATGATACAACTCGAAACAGAATAGAACAACCCAAGAACACAAAATATGACATAAGAGATCATAAACATCAATGGTTGATTATGTTTGGGCTCAGAACAACATTGTACTTTTCTGTACAAAACAAAATATCCACAAAGCCTATATAAGAGAATGTAATATATCAAGTGTAAATTAGCTCAACCTTTCTGAGCAAGAAGAAGGAAACGACAGACATTAGAAATGGAAGAAATTTGGAGAGTAAATTCTCATATCTTATATTATTGAAATCTGAACAAAATACAGTCATTATATATACACATTCCATCCCAACAAACCTATACAAGTGTCTAAATCTTATTGCTCACTAATTATCAACAATATAACAGAATTGGAATCTTTTCTAACTTCTTCAGCATGTGCCTCAGGTGCCTTCTTCAGCGTGTTCCTTCTGATGATTTATTCTAGATCCTTCTCCATCATTCCAGCTGGTGATTAATCTGTTTTCCAATAGCCTAACCCTCAAAACGAATGAACAAACGCAACTACATCAATGGACCAAGAACCAACTAAACTAATCTCAACTCTAAACCTTTAAAAGAAGAATCACTAAGACTCGAATCACACAGATCCAACCAAAAAAACTAGAAGTTTTAGGGTAACACACGGTAGACGAAAAAGAGAATGAAAAGAGACATAGAGAGAGAACCCAGAAGCTTCTTACAAAAACCAGACGAAGATATCAATTAGGGCAACCACTCAGACAACTTAATACCCGCACTCATCACTCTGGATCTCAGCTAGTTGGTGAACAACGGTCCAAAGTAGCACACGTGTAAGTGTAATCCATATTCGGGCTTAGGTTTAGGCATATTCCATTTTGTGTTATTAGGTAATGACAGATTAATATCCACAAGTGGGCTTAGCCCAATTTCATCATAGCACGTGGATTGAACCACTTGAATATGATATCACAGCCCACCCTTCAACTTTTAAGGACGAGGATTAATATAAAGAATAGCAAATTTTCGAGTCTTTTAGACTTGCTCAACACTACTTAGTTATGAGGCTAGCTTTCTCCCTTGCGCTCAAATTATGAGTTTGTAGCAATGCAAACCAATTAAATGATGCTAACGAAGGGAACAAACAACGCTATCTAACGAGGCCATGTTGGCGAATTATATATTTAAGAGTTTGTTTGATGTAATTTTTTTTTTTAGAATAGATCTTGTAAAAATTAATTTTTATTGTAAGAACGTATAGTTAAAAAAATATGAAAAAAGTTTTAAATCCACGTGTAAAATTATTTTATTTGAAGAATATACAATTAAAAATAAATTTGAAAGAAAGATAAATTTTTAAAAATCTATACCAAATCTTATCAAAATTCAAATTTTATTTAAAGAATTATTTGTTTTGAAGTCCTTTTTTTTTCTGGTCAAGAATCATAAATCAAATGAAAGAAAGGTTGCTGAGGGTGTCATTTTGTTCCAGCGAAGGAGGTTCCAAATCAGTACACTTTTTGGTCAAGAAATAGAGATTTGCGTGGCAGTTATCTTCACTCCTACCCTAGGATTCTAGATAAGGCAGGGTCCATTTGCAGTGCTGAAAGTCATCGATATTCCAAAGATTCCATCCCTCCAAGAAAAGCTTCTGCAACCAAGTCTTTCCTTCCATTATGGGCCCCTCTCCTGCCCCACATCTAACGCGTGTCCAGCAGGCCACCATATTCGTATCAATCCTCTTTATTTATTTATTTATCTGCCTTCTCTTTTCACATTTCTTTCTTTTTTGGCGCCATTTAGCAGATTCGTTTTCTTTTTCTTTTCAACTTAAAGAACTGGGTAATTTTATATACCTATTAAATTTTGTTCCCTTTAATAGTATATAATTTCCAATTAAAAGAGGCGTTTTTAAGGAAATCAATCGTATAACCTAGGATCCAATTTTCAACCTTTTTTTTTCGAACTCCATTCCTTTTCCAGCTCCCAAAGTCGAGGTAAGAAGATATTGAGTTAAAAATCAGATGGTCCAAATCCAAAATCAAAGGTCCCAAATCCCAAACTTCAAAAAAATTTGAACTCTTCCATCCACAGCTGCAATACTAAAAACAAACTTAAAACAGTTATGAATAAATAAATAATGTATAAACGAAAATAAAGATAAATAGGAAATAACGAAATACCTTAACCGGAGACAAATACACGACGAACGGAAACGAATTACGTGTCTACCACAACGGCGAACTGGACGGAACACATAACGCTGCAAACACGCACGGGGAACGGATATTAAATTGATTTCAACAAACTTTTCAAACCATCACCACATTCAAAGTCTCAAAGAACACACGAAATCTGAATGAATATTGTTCTCAATTTGAATTGGAGTTTGCAGGGTTTGATTAAATGAAATATTTAACATCCTGTCCCTTTTTAAGTAAAGATTCTTGTGCAGTTTGGATGTGGTGAAATGTCCAAAAGTGTAGTTCATTTCGCAAATCATACGTACACAACTAAGACAATTTCAGATCCTCCTGTTTCCAAAATTGCTTAGGTGTTTCGATTGCCCAGAGTACAAAAACCCGCAGGAAATTTTGCTTGATAACCACCGAGATCTGGCGCGTTCGCTGGAAATCACTGAAGAGGAAAGTTCTTCTAAAGTGTCTCAATAGAACCAACCTGTAACCAAAAGAAATTGACTTCTCACAGATCCTCGGCTTTGGACATGATAGACAAACGGCTACGACGTGGCTGGAAATCGACTCGGCGGCGCTGCTGATGAGACGAAGGCCTAATCAAAGCCGCCAAAGCTCGCTTAACCAAATCGCCTTCGACCGTTCCGATCCGCACAAGAGAATTCGTCATCGCCGATCTCCGAGCGTTCAATCGGTTGGGCGAGTATGATATGGAATGATTATTCCCACAACTGCTACCAAAATTATTCTTATGCAAAGCGCACCTGAACGATCCGGGATGGGTAGTAGGCGAGCACAAGCAAGTCCTCTTCTGCAACGAAATACTGTTACCATTATGCTTGCGCACCACCTGATTCGCCATAGACCGTCCCGGCGAGTCAGATCTGTTGATGGAAAACCTTACCGACGGCGTCGGAGATGACGAAGACAGAGAGTGAAGGTTCACGCGCGTCGGAGATGATGACCTGTGATTCTGAAAGAAGCCACTCGATGAATTCGAAGTATACGGAAACGACGACGAGGATGAGGAGGCAAACGACGATACATCTGACATCACCATCGCCGAATTGCAGAACCGACCGGACGGAGAGATCGATCGCCGGAACGCAGACGCTATTGGTAACACCGGTCCGCTTGATTTTTTAGATGTAGACATTTCTCGAGTGAGAGAAAATTATTTCGCGAGATAGAGAATAAATTTATATTACTATTATATTTCTGAAGAGACCTTGAGGCTCTTCAGTTCGGCAAACCTAGCTGGTGTGGAAGGGCGGATTTATAGGTGGAACGGCGCTGGGTCACGTTGAGAATAATAGGAAGTTCAAGGGTAATATCGAAATTTAATGGCTAAGTAGTTTATAGGTTGGGGTCCACATGAACTAGAAATTTTGGAATGGGGACCTTGATCGTACGGCTTAGACGTATTTGGAATCATAAATGATAGGTGAAATTAAATAAGTTATTTAATTTCACATTTCATTTAATCTATCATTTAAAGTCACATAAATTGTGTTTTCATCCCCACTGGAACGAGGTGGGGATGAAAACACAGTTTATGTGGCTTTAAATGATAGGTTAAATGAAATGTGAAAAATGATAGGTTAAATGAAATGTGAAATTAAATTTAATTTCTAATGCTATTCATCCCCAGTGGGGATGAAAACACAGACTACGTGGCATTAAATGATAGGTGAAATTAAATAAGTTATTTAATTTCACATTTCATTTAACCTATCATTTAAAGTCATATAAACTGTGTTTTCATCCCCACTGGGGATGAATAGCATTACTCATTTGGAATAACAGCCTCGCGCAGGGGATAGGAAGATTTTGCCACGTAGTGAAGAGATAGTGATTGTGGGCCAGTTGTATTGCCTTTTGGATGTAATGTATGGCCAAAAATATCATCATTTTTCAATACATTGATTATCATCAGAGAAAAATCCAATAAACAATTGAGACGTGTTTGGCTAAACTTACGGAAGTGGAAGTAAAAGTGTTACAAATTAGCGGTTCTCATAATGATATTTATAATGGACACCCTTATGTATTGTGCTATGTACCCACAGCACAGTCCAATTACAATTATGTTGTGTGTATATTAGGGGTGTCATTCGGAGCATGGTCACATAGCATGATTGAACAAATTACGTTCACTATTAATGTTATAGCCATTAGCCACCGTCTAGGTGGTAAAGTTGAGATTTGTTGTTCAACTTTCGTTGTCAAATTTGTTTTTTACTCACTTAATTATTGACTCATCATTTGTGAAAGAAATTATTTAACAGTGTTAAATAGTTGATAAAATAAGAAATTAAAATTGATGAAAAATATTTAGCAGGTGTTAAATGGTTGTTAAAATAGGAAACTAAAATTGATGACATGTTATTTAAATGATGTGTCAATAATTAATGGATTGACAATTATTTGAATATCAAAAGTTGGACAACAAATCTCAACTCCTAAGTGGTAGTGAACTTTTTGATTCAAATGAAGGTCCGCTATTATTTAGATGGTAACGAGCACGACAATAATCAATAAATCAAAATGTTCGTCTTTCTTTAAACTGATGATGACCAACGTTGGAGATGAATTTTGTATTATTTAAAGCAATACCAATTGTTACACCTCTTACGGAGAGGCTCTAGATCAACACCTATGTGGTGCCGCTATGCAAATAAGCACAGTCCACATTCCACGTGTTTGTTATTGAACTGTCGAGGTGGTATGGTCCTTATCTAAGTTCGCGAAATTGAGACTCTAAGGTGATACACCTCGAAAGATAGTAAGACAAGCGGGAAAGAGGAAGTGATACTGCTGGAATACTATTGTATCGCCTCATACGCGTTAAATATGAGATCTTTTGTACAAAGATTTATCCAAAATAAGATTCTCGTGATTGATTGACGTGATGTTTGCACAACAGACACCAGGTTGTCAAATCATCGAATCCACTCATAAGGGGCATTAAATGCTTGCCAACCTATAGACTGGTTGATTCATACATAGGAGAGGATGCCTCATCCTGTAGATGAGGCTACGTGTTCCTCAATCCAACGGTCTCAAATCCACATCTTTCCCTATAAATACCCACTCTGCACCATTTGAAAGGTAATGCAATTCCACACTCTAAAATACACAATTTGCCTTATTATCTTTGAATCAAGTATGTTATTCCATTCTCCTTCGACGTTAACTCGTTACCAAATTATATATTTTATTTCACACATACACATTTAACTAAGTTTAAAGCGTTTACTTATAATCAAATTAGTTTATTATATAACAAATAATTTTTATTGATTAAAAATAAATGACTTATTTGAATAGTATGAAATGTCACATGTTTGACTAATTTTAAAAGTAATTAAATTTTTTCTAATGTATTTTTTCATATATTACTTATTTATACTTGTGAGTTAAAAATTTATTTAGTTCGACCATGAAATGGATGTTATTATCAAAATAAGTAATATGCTCTATATTTAATTTTACTAGTTAAAAATATATTTGTTAGAATTTTGTTATGAGTGTCCAAAAATATATTCTGACCCACATTATTATGCGTGTCATGAATTTAACGTTTTAAACTAAATCTCGTGTAGTATAGAGCATCTTTTATGGTATAAGTTGAACGGATAAAAAAATAAATTTCATCCCACTCTAACATCTCTTTTTGACTCCACCCATGGTAATTCACCTTCAATTTGAGAATTACATTCACTTACCGTGCAATTGAGGAGAAAAGTAAAAATATATTTCTACTCCAACATGTTTAGTTTGACACCTTCTTACTTTAATGTTAAAATAAGTAGTTTATTTATTTTTAATTAATTAATTAATAAATATTATTTTGAAACTTACTACTTATATGTGAACTAAAGGAAATTATTCAATAGTAGTACTTGAATAAAAAGTAGTAGTTTCCACAGTTTAAATTGAAATCTCATATTCTCACTACTAATCTTTCTCCATTTTTTATCTCGAAGTGAAACGTTAGAGGGGCTGAAATTAAAGTATTAAGCAATATCAGTTTATTTGTACGGATTTGATCTTTTGTCCATAGTGGGCAGGAGTTATAATGCTCGCTGTGTGATATTGTCATTTCATACCCTTATTACTGATGTAACAACATCACATATTATCGCATCCACATTGAACATTATAATTCCTATACACTATTGATAGGGGATCAAATCTATTTATTTGTATGAGCAGTGGTATTCGTCATCATTGATGTTAAGTACCAATCTAAGGGGCAAAACATGATAGATACAATTAAATTAATCTCATAACAACATATTTAATTAGACCAATTATTTAATGTCACTTACTTGTGACATAGACAAGTGCTCATATCATTATTCTATTCGTCTACTTAAAATAAAGAAGAAGCTCATAGCTAGGCACCGACTTTCCAAAGCGAAGTACAATTTCATAAGTTGTATAATCTTACCCAGAATCTTCGAGAATAAATCAATTAAGCTACTTGAACATAAACTGTTTCACACCTTTATTGATGAGATAATAAGGTAGCATCATTTTGACCCTTGATTTGAAAAAAAGAAATTCAAATTAATGTTCAAAATCCATGTCGTATCAGCATCTCTTAACAAAAGTGTAAAGAAAATTGACAAGTAGCGCACTCCTTTAAAAATAAGCCTATATTTTCACTTCAAAGAACTTTTTGAACTTTTATAAAAGTTCTAGTAGATTCCAATAAAAGTTAGTGAAATATGTGATTATAAAATTGACAAAAGTTATGAGCTCCATAAAATGTATATTTAAAATCAATACGTTTTTTCGAAGATATTTAGTCCTTGTTTCATATTCTCAAATTCATTTTCAGTCCCTGTTTGATAACCATTATTTTGAGAAAATAGAGTTTTGAATAGTGACTTTTTGGAGAAGGTGTTGTTAAAAAGTAGAAAAAATTGGGTTTATGTGCAAAATATTTTATTGTTTAAATATGTGGTTAAAAATGAGTATAAAAATTAAAGAGTTTTAAAATAATGGTTGTGAAACAGATAGTAATACTATTCATCCCACTGAGGTTGAGCAAGAGCCTCGATGACAATTATATAGCATTAAAGAGTAATGTTATTCATCCCCAGTGTAGATGAAAACACAGACTATGTGGCATTAAATGATAAGTTAAATGAAATGTGAAATTAAATTACTCATTTAATTTCACATATCATTTAATACCACATTAACGCCACATAAACTGTATTTTCATCCCCAATAGTGATAAATAGCATTACTCAGCATTAAATGATATATTCATTCAAATGCAGAGTCACATAACTCATTTAATTGAACCTATAAAATGTTGTCACCTAAACTGTGCTCAACTCCAATGGGGTGAATAACATTAAATAGGGATTCAATCACACATTCATATAATAAAATATTTTACACGTAAATTCAAATTTTTTTTTTGAACTTTTTAACTACACATTCTCAAAAAAGTCACTATTGTGAAACTCATTTTAATGGATGTTGAATTGGGGCTTAGTTGAATTAATTTTATGATTATTATATCATTTATGAATTACATAATCTTGTAGTGCTTTCCTGATTGAGCCCCCTCTCCCCCTTTTTTTTGGAAAATTGTGGTTTGGAGTAATGATTTTTTAAAAATATCATGATTAAATTTTTTTAAAATTTATGTGTAAAATTATATTATGGAAGAATTTGTGATTGAAAATGAATTTTGAAAAAATAAGTTAAAAAACAAAAAAAAAAAAAGGCTCAAATGGGGTATATCTTACCTGGAGCACTTCTCTAGAAGTTTGTGGATTACTCCTTTAGCCCATTAGTTACTTTTTCAAAAATGAGATAAAATAAGTAATAATAACATCGGTGAATTTTTTAAATTCTTTACCTCGTTTGACTTTTGTATATGATAATTAACAACAATCATGTTATTTGTACAATCTTTTTTTAAAATATTGATTGACTATTCACGCTTGACAATATCACATTTATCTATTTTAAAAATTATTTTTTATAATTAATGGTCTATATTTTGACAACATCAATATTGTCAACCACAATTGTCAACAACAATTATACAAATAGATCAATTTAATTGAAAAATTACAAGTGCATGGAGGGACGGGTACTACCTATCTATCTAGAGAAATATCGACA